GCAAACCCCTACTTTACTTCCCCCACATAGTCATGAGACCACAGAAACCCTACAGAGTAACTTGGTCTCCTTTCCTGCAAGGAGAATCCTATGGCCTAAACCCACCCTGTCCTTCCCTGGAAGCTGGACCACTATGGCTTGGGGCAGCCTGAGGGAGCTGCAGGTCCCTGCCTAAGTATGCTCTAGGGTTGAGTTTGTTTAGTCCTGCAACTCACTTAAGGATTTATATGTGTTCAGTCAAGGGGGGCTTACAGATTCAATTTGATGTGAAATCATTCAACTCTTATGGTTAGAAACAAAAGCTCCCAAACGACCCCAGAAACAGATTCAGAAAATACTTTTCACAAGGCATTACTTGGGACTGTATTAGGCCTGAAGAGACAGGACAATACAGGATTTAGAATGTTCAGGTGATTATAGGATTGGTGGTGGGAAGTTGCCCAGAATGGGACCTGCTCATACTATCTTTGCCCTTCTAGATTCTCTTGACCTTAACCCTCCCTAAATCAGTCCAGGTGGCATTTTTGACAACAGGGTCATGGTTCCAAGCTCCTTTTTATACAGTTGGCCGCTCTGATCCTGTTCATTTGTAATTCTACTCATATTCATACTATTTGTCCCACAGTAGGGTAGAGAAAGCAAATTTCTTGTAATTAAGGATGTTTTACATGAAGATTTCTCATATGAAGAAATAGCTACAGCATTCAGCTCTGGGCTTGATAGAGCAAAGTCCTCAGCAGAAGCAAGGCTGTTGTCAAAGAAGATTCTGGCCCTGCTGGCAAGAGGCCCTGTGGGCTCTCCTTCCAGCAGGAATGTTAGCTTGTATATGCACACTTGGCATCAAAAACAGCTCTTCCTTCAGTCAGCAGCATGAAATACCTGTATTCAAGCTATTTTGGCCTTGAACTGACTGCTGCTGTCAAATTCATGTCTAGGGAAATTAATACCTGCAGAATCCAGCCTGTAGACTAGATCAGTGCTGGTCAGTGATGACCTTTTTTACTAATCCAAGGTGATGTACAAACTGTAAAGACAATGTAGCAACTTTTTCACATAGCTAAATTTATTAAGTTTAAGGAACTCTGAGATTGTTTTCACGTATCTTTGTTGTTAGAGATCTTCTTATTAAAGGTGATAGATGGTTATTTTTCTTTTCATGTTCTTGTCAAGACAAAAAGTTGGCAATTTTATGTGGGTTTTACAAATTTGGGGGAAAATTTTGATGCTCTGTGAAACACTTAAGATTTGGGAACCACTGATCTAAGAGTGTGGTACATAATCATGCTCTAGAGCTTTCTCCACCTTGGCACTTTTGACATTTTGGGTCAGATATTTCTTTGTTGTGAAGGGCTGTCCTGGGCATTGTAGGATGTTTAGCAGCATTGCTGGACTCTACCCACTAGATGCCAGTAACAACCCACCCCACCCAGATGCAACAACTAAAAATGTCTCCAGACATTGGCAAATGTCTCAGGGTGGGTTACAATGGACTAGGTGAAAGCTGTGGTCAAAAAGTTTGAAAGTTACTGTTCTAGAGACATTGTAAGTTTTATTTTATCATATTCATTATTTTCTCATAATTTTTATTGCAGTAAATGAGAAGTCATGGCAAGTTGTATGGTAACCATAAAGGAGTACAGGTAGTAAGGCAAACAAGGCTATATAAAGTATATATATGTATATATTATTATAGTTTGATTATTTTTATTTTTGGGCATTATATGTATGTTTGTCTTACAAAGATGCTATAAGGCTTAATTGGTATTGACAAAGTATTTAAAAATACCCGTCTGAAATATATTGTAAATAGACAACAATATTATTACACATAATATTTTGTATTTATATGTCACTTTTCACTTGAGGCTCTCAATCTATTGATTTTTCCTCAGTGTATGATTTTCAGTTCGTCTCAAGGAAACTGAGGCACAAGCCAGTGTCCAAGTGACATAATAAAGTCAGGGAATAATTAGGCCTCCCATTTCCTTTATAATACCCTAATCACTTTTACTATATTACTATTTGTAGTAAGTATATATTTGGTATATAGTAAATGTATATTTTATATCTTTTATAATTTTTTAACACATATATTTATCTTTGCAAGGCTGGCAGCCCCTTGTAAGTAGGGGCAAGTCTTTAGCTCTGTATCTCTCAGAGCCTGCAGGCTGTGGGCACACCGTTTGTGGGCAGCTGGCAGGCATCAGGGAATACCAATTGCATTAGCTTAGTCCTCCAAAGTTTCATTATAGATTCATATTTTAATGCTGGGCTTTTGGCTGCTATCTGAGATTGTGGTAAGAAAAAGAAGATATCTGCATTTTTTATAAAAAATAATCTTGTTATAATACAACTTAAAATGTATGGTGGGATAATCAAGGCTGCATTTTGACTTTCATGGACACTAAATATCTTTGCCTTCATGGGTCCCTTCCTCCATTAAAAAAAAGAAAGTTTAAAATAATGGTTTATGACTGCTTTGGTATAAAAACAGATATAATCCAAACTAGATTATATATTTTTTTCTGATTTAAAAATGATTAGGACACTCTCCTGGGCCCCTAAAAGTATCACAAGCACCTCACGGTGCCAATGGTGCCTAATAAAGAGGTGGGCCCTGGACCCAATACACTGAAATGTTAAGTTGGCCCCTTCATTCCTGTGCTCCTAGGGAGGTATTCTGGTTTTATTGTCTCAGAGAAATAACCCAGCAGGCAACAGAGGAGCCAGATTTTTGGTTTTGGACTTTGAAAGCTTTGGTCTTAGGATGATACCATAGATTTGGAAGACTAGATGAAGAAGTGGGCTACCCAGGATCCCAAATTTGAATTAAGACCTTGGAAATCCTAGAGCAGATGGGACCTATCACTGCCTAGCCCTTCATTCTCAGGGTAGTGTTTTCAGAGCTGTTGAAGTGTGGGGCTTTTATGTGTCCCCCAAGCCCAGTGTGGTGGGAACATGAAACAAGTACCTTCTTGGTTTGCCAGGCAAACGGCTCAGGGATGGCAGATGGCATCTGGGTTTCCAGGAACCCTGGGTGGAGAGGGACACAAGAAAGTTTTTGGTGGGGTAGATAGTGGCATCCCTGTGGCAGACTGCGAGTCTGTGTAGACAGTGTGGCAGGACCAGGAGTGCATAGCAGAGACCTGCATGGATCCACAATTGAAGACCACAGGAGAATAAGGATTTTTCCACAGATGCCAGCAAGAAGAAATGATGACAACAAAGATGGATTCTTGGCATTGTGGTACCATGAATGAACCCTTTAGAGTTGTAAAGGACCCAGAATTGATTAAGATTAAGGTTTTTCCATCTGGAAATTTGAACACTTGGAAAGGAAATTAGGTACAATTATGGGGAAAAAAGTTGCAATTCTTGTACACCAGAATTGTTTTGAAGCCAGGTTACTCTTCACTATACATAGATTTTTATGGTGCTTTACAGTATTTGAAGGACATTACACTTTTATTTTTTTATTTTTAACTGTTATAAAAATTTTAAAAAGCATTGGTATTATTTCTGTCCTCAATTTACACATGTGAAAATGAAAGCACAGAGTAGTTAAGTAATTTCTCCGAGGTCACACAGATAGGATTTGGCTGAGCAATGACTCAAATCCATGGCCTGCTCACTCTATCACTCCTGGTTCTTAACGTCATCCAATATTCCCCCTGCAAACTTCAGTGAGAGCTTTCTGTCAGGCTCTCAAAAAATGATGTGGTACCAAAATACTTCTAGTGTTTTGCAGTTAATGCTCAAATGTGAGGAGAGCAGAGGGCTCACATACTGGAGCTCTGCAGTCCCACCCTAGGCTCCCTTGCTGCTGCATTCTGTGCAGAGCTCTGCTCCCATGTTTGGAGGTGGGGAGGAAAGGGTGTAACTTGAATGCAGTGCAGCGGCGCAGCCCCAGTGCAGCGGGATAAGGCCTTTGGGGGCAGGCGATCAGGTCCTAAAGGGTCTCCTAACTTGGATGCTGGGTGCTCATCCAAGTTAGTGGATGCTGTTCTGCTTCCCGGCCCTGTGCCCACACTCATCACACTGTAGATTTTTCTTTTTAATTGTCTGTGTCTCTCTCCAGAATGTGAGCAACTGAAGGCAGGGACTGTATTACACTTACTCCCCATTGAATCCCCTGAACCTAACAAAATACCTGACATGTAGTAGGTATTTAAAATGTTTGAATGAACAAAGAGATGGGTGGATGGATGAGTGAGTGGATAGGTGCATAAATTCTTGGGTATCTCAGTGTCCCTTACACAGTCTTAGCCCCATATCCCTTAATAGCAGAGCCCCTTTGGATGGGTGTTTGTATTCAGCTTCCTTTATCTCACCCAAGAAAGCTTTGTGAAAACTGCTTTTTCTTCTGTGGGCCACTTCATCTTCTTTTTCCTTCCCTGTCCCCAAATCCCTCCTTTATTATTTCCAACCATCCTTTAGTCAAGATGTTTGGAATATTTTTTTGCTCTTCCACCTACATGTTTTAAGAACTGTTTTTTTAGCTTATGTTTAATTGTCAGCTTCCTTTAGATCCTCTTTAGCAGCAGGAAGCACATGTTATAAGTCACATGAGTAAATACTTTGCTCTTTCTCATTTTGAAAAAAAAATTGTAATTAAAATTCATGGTAGAAAAAGTTTCTGAAGTGGTAAGTCGCCTTTCTAAGATATTACCATGTTTTATTTTAGAATTTACTTTCAATAACTAATCTACATTATTAAATAAGATTCACTTCATTGGTGTCACTGAACAATGACTGTGTTGGATAAGTATTGTTTTGTGTATTATTAGTTTTATCAAATGTGCTAAATTGTTTTTAGGAAGTAGCCTCAGCATTACTTGAAAAGAGATGGAAATATGTTATATGTCCCAAATCCAGTAAATTATAATTAGAACAATGTCACAAATATAGTAAATTTTCATTGGATAATCTTTTAAAAATTTAAATGCAATAAATGATAAATAAGCATTATCCCTTAACAGATTCTAATTTTTTCCCTTAAGGCATCGTGACAGAGAAGCTTATCCCAAAGATTATGATATAGAGGGTCCTGAGGAAGTGAAAAAACTGTGTAATTCAACATATTGGCGACTTGGAACCAGTGAACCCCCAGTAAGTAGTTGCTGCTAATTTCTTTAAGTCTGGAATCTTCCTCCTAGTGAAACATGAAAAAGTAGAGGGAGGAGCATTTTGTCAGTCGCACTCCCCTTGACTATGTTGATTGCTTAGGCAGATGACTTAGTCACTGTGTGCTTCAGTGACCTTACCTATAAAATGTGCACACTTCGTAAGGTTATTGGGAAATAAAATAACGCAAATAAAGTGCCTAGCACATGGCAAGTGCTCAAGAAATTATTACTGTTATGATGCTCTTGCTGCAGCTGCACCATCCTGCTAGATGTCTCCTTTAACCTTCACCATCACCCTGTGAAGTAGGTATTGTTATCTCTGTTTTACAGAGGGGAAAAACTCCTACAGGTTAAGTGACTTAAAGTTAAAACGTTAGGGAGTGGAAGAGTGAAGAGTTTGAACCCAGTTCTTTGATTTCAAATCTTTTGTACTTAAGGTGGTACAGTTGTGAGTAATTTAAATATGTTATTATTATCCTCATAACATTTGTACAACCCAGTTACAAAAGGAATGTTCGTTGTATAAGTACTTCCTATTTGAATTGCTTTGGGTGGGTTACTCCTTGGCTGTTTAGGTGTCTGACCAATCAGTATGAGGCAGGAACTCAACTCCCCAGAGACTCCCAAATTCTGTCCTACAATGTCGAGAGCTTTGAGAATAGTTGAAGATGGCTTTGGGGCCTGAAAAGGACACATGTGAATGTGTTGAGAAGACTGGGTTTGTATCACATTCTGCCCCCAAAGGCTGGGCTAGTTTGAAAAAGGGCAAGCTGAGGAAGATCCATAATTCTACATTGGGAATGGTTCTAGAAAATTCTCTGTTCTTCAGGGTATGGGAATGAATTAGCTTATCAGAGCCCATGCTGTTTCCTCCCTTCCTCTTACACTTGCCATAGACAGAGAAGAATAAAGACAGCCTGAAAAATGGGGATTTATTATATAAAGATACAGCTACCTGGATACAAAACAAGGATACTTACAGGACTGAAGACAGCTCTAAAGCAAGACATTCTCTCTGTCTCTCTCTCTGTGACACACACACACACACAGAATCTCTTTTGGCATCTCTATTTCTCTCTGCTGTGTTCTCTAGCCCCACAGCTCACATCTCAGGTGCATTCTGATGGTTTCCTCACTTTCCACCCTGCCCTCTTGCCTTTGCACCAGGCTGTCTATTGGGCATTAGCCAGCACATTGATCAGGTTCTCCAGTCTGATGCCCAACTCAGTAAATAACCACCTTGCCTCGGTCTCCTAAACCCAGCTTAACTTTACTTTCTTGATCTTGGCCAGGACAAGAGCAACTTGAGCAAGGCAGGCATTGCCTGGCATGCACTTAGCATTTTTGACCCTTAACAGCATTTATTTTTGATTTCTAAAGGAAATTTTTCTTGATCTCTAGATTGTGGGTGGAAGTGAGATGAAGTGAAACAAGAGGTGTAGGAATCTCAGACATTCATTCCTTGTATTCTATGCATTGTAGCAGTCAAGCCTTAGGTTTAATAGAGGATGTATAAATAAGACAATATTTACCTTCTCTATGACTTTCGTTCATGGTCATTGAAACTTTGTCCTTCCTCTACCATGTGTACAGTGTGTATTAGATAGGAAGTTACCAAACCAAACTTGGGTCCACTTGCCCAACATGTGGCAAAGCCAATCTACCGATACTAGGTTGTAGTTAAGGAAAGTACAGCATTTGTTGCAGGGCCAAGGAAGGAGAATGGGAACCTCAAGCTCAAAAGACCTGAACTCCCTGATGGCTTTCAGGGAAGGGCTCTTAAAGACAACATTAGTTGTAGGGTGTCTGATCAGCTTATGGACATCCTTCTGATTGGTTGGTGTGAGGTAACAGAGTGGTATTTGGGAAGTTAGTATCAACTTTCTGGTTCTAATCAATCTGGGGTCTACGTGCTTGTTGTCAGCATGTAGTTAACATCTTCCATCTGGCAAGTATCTGCAAAAGAACTCAAGGATGTGGCTCAGGATATTATCTATACCCCTTGTGGAGGAACTAAAGGCCTTTGCCTTTGTTTTATGGCTAAACTATTAAACTAAAATTATTATTTTGTCTTATTTTCCTGTTTTCCTTTGTTTCTGGATTTTCTCACTTCTCTGATTAAATTTGCTCTTTGGAACTTGGGGAAGGCCTAGGAGGCTAAAGCTTTGCTGCAAACAAAAGGTCGGAGGGGGACATGGAAGAGGAGGGTTGTCCCTCGGAAGGCCCTACAGGGTCCTGCTCAGTATCAGGAAGGAAAATAGACCAAGGAGTCCCTGTTTCTGATTAAGCTATCTTAATAGTAAGTTACGTTTTTCTCTAAACTTTGTATATTAAAGACTTGTTCATTCATCTTGTTTCTTTACTCTTCTCAAGAAAGTTATAAAGTTAACAAGAAAGATATTATCATTCCAGTTCTAAACCTAGACTTACTGATCTTAAATGATTCCCTCAAGGTCCCATGTGTAAAAACAAGGGGGATTCAGGCCCAGGGTCTCCATACCTTCATGTGTCAACTGTGATGTTGGATGTAGTGGGAAGATGAATGAGTCCCTCTTCCTCTTGCCACAGACTTTTGATAGAGGTCTGAAACTAGAATACTCTTGATAGTTGGTGGGAACTTCACATCCTAAAGCAAGGTGTTGGGCCATCTAGGTAAGATCTGCTTAGAGATCCTAAACTAGGTTAGGCCAGTATAAGTGGTTGTGTCCTTGAAGACTAGAGTTTAAAGAGGATTTATTTAGTTGTGGGTTGTGTGTCCTTTCTTCCCTAGTTGAGAGGCATTTCAAGAAAAACACTCAGATTAGTAACATGTATCCTGGTATTTAGATCAATATAGGTTCTCACTCAATGACACATGTCTGAGAACTTCAAGATAAGAAGTCATGCCTGATCTGATGGAGCAGAAAGAGAGAGGGATCAAACAGCCCTTAAAGTGAGGATGGTGGTGGTTTACCCAGGGGACCCACTAGAGAGAATTTTCCAGAGTGCTCTCGAAAGAGCAAAAAGACTCAGCATAAGAGACCCACCAGATAGCCAAGGCTTAGGAAAAGGAGTTACAATCAACTAGGAGGAGATGCTTTGCTGGCTTCCAGCAAGCTGTTGGAGGTCCTGTGAGAGAATCTCTGGAAACAATTATGCATGTGCCCCACAAGAAGAGCCAGTTTTGAATGTCCTTCAGGCCCAAGGCTGTTAGCACAGGTCAGAAGAGTAAAGGCCAGTTAACATTATGCCTTTTCACCTAATCTTTCCCCATTATCCAGTTATGGCCTATGAATGGGGGGAGGTAGAAGAGAGAGACCCAAGGGAAATGGCAGTGGAGCAAGGCCTCACCTGCTGTAGGCTTCTAGGCCTAGAGCAGCTCCAAGCTGGGAAGGTGATAAGCTTAAATCTAATACACTTAGAAGTTTTGATTATTTCCCTGAACAGGAAAATTTCTTAACTAAAACGAGATCCTTCTTGAGATTAAGGAGCCCAGAAAAACTACGGGACTTGCCTAAAATTTCCATTATTCAAAAGGAAAGAACTAGCCTTCAATGAGGGGTGGAAGGAACAGCTTGATTAAAATAAAGTTGCTTCATGATTGCGTTCTATTGATGCAACAGGATCAACTGAGTAAGACAGTCATTCATCCTCTGGACAGCTCTTCATGGAGGTACCACAAGTGACCTGCATTGTATAAATGAGGAAACGGAGGCCAAATGAAGCTTAATAACTTGTTCAAAGTCAAACAGCTAGAAAGAGTATTAAAAATTAAAGTCCATTTTTTTCTCCTGGTTCCAAAGTCTAAGATCTTAAATACTTTTCCAAATTGCCTCTTGGAGTGCCAAGCTGCGCCACTCCCAGACCTTTTACCCACTAACATTGTAACCTCCTTGCAGAAAATGAACCTGATTATTTTTTTGTTCTGGCTTCAACATCTCACTGCATGTGTGTTGGGGCATTGATTTCTTAACATCTTAGCTATAACCTCTGCCCGTTTCCCAGATTATGTCCACACATGCTAGCTAGCCCTGTTCCCATCTGATTCTTCTAGTGAATGCCTTCTTATTATTTATGATGTCTTTTTTTTTTTTCAAGATTGCTTCTGAATGGCTGCTTCTTATGTCCACCAGCATTTCTATTTGGCAGATTTAAGGTCTCTTTGCCCTTAAATGCTGCCACTAGGGCTAATGTGAGCATTGTTTATTTTTAACAGGACTTAAAATGGGCCTCTCTTTGTCTACATTTTGGCAGTGACTCCAAAAGTCTAAGAACAGAAGTGAAATACTAGGCCCCTTAGGTGAGGCCCTCGAAGAAGATGATGGTGACCTTAGGCCACTATTCACATGAAGGATTTAAGAGGATTGAAATCCAAGAAGCCTAAAAGGGAGTTTGAGAATAGAGACAGGATTTTGGAAAAGGTGTGCTGTAAGTGTCATCTGCAAACCCCACTGAGTGCCTAGTGAAGTTAGTGATATAAGTCTTCAATGATCTGTCCAAAACAGATCAGAGCAGATGCAGAGCAGAAAGAGGGAAACTGGCTACATATACATCAGGGGTGGGGCAAGGATAAGTGAGTACTCAGGCCTAGATGTGGCTTTGGGGGTTAAGATGTGGGCCATGTGGAAGAGAAAAATGACAGGGAGCCATTTCAGAGGCTGCCCAAGAGCACCTTGTGTAGGGATGGGAGAGGGATCAACTGGATTCCCACGGAATTTAAGTGCAGAAAATGCCATCCTGCATCAGGAATATATATCACTGAATGTCCCCAGAGGGGATCTCAGGGTCTTAGAACACCCCAAGAAAGTCAGCTTTGAACGTATATCAGTACCAAAGAGAGGCAACCACAGACATGCCCAGAGGAAACCAAAACAAGAAGTTCATTTTATATGAAGTTTTATATGAAGCTAGTACATGGGACTGGGTATTTTACTTACCTCAGTAAGACTCTTCTTGGGACGAAAATAGCCAGAAGGTTTTTAGAGTATCTGAGAGTGATCAAAA